ACATTACCTTTCGATGGTTATCTGTTGATGTTTTGTCCCCTAATCTAAGTTGTTATGTTTCCATGTATGTGTTTAGCGAACTCTAGTATGTAATATGTGCCGTCTAGATGAAGCTCCGCCGTGGGTCCAGTTTGGTAGGTGACGACATAGGTCCACTCCTTACCTGCTTCACCCTACGTGGCTCTTCATCTAGTTGTAACGTTTGTTGTTTATTAATAAAATCCTTAATGAGCAGGGCTTCTAACCCTGCTTTTTCTGCTCAAAAAACTCGCGTGTAGCATCGAGCATGAAAAAGCAACTCTCTTCCTCCAATGTGAAATACATCTCGCGCGTAGCTCGACCATCTCTTGTTCCTCTCGCTCTTAATTAACAACACTAATATCTTCAACATCAAATTAACTGCGCGTCCAGATTCTACTGACTGGATCTTACCGTGTAGGCCTGAAGACTCGTGACAACCCTAGCTACCATATTCTTGCATTAACAGTCATAACTCTAGTTTTTATTTTGATGATGATGATGATGATGATGCTTTGGGTTGGCAAGAAAGATTGTGTTGGCATGCAGTTGGTCTCTTTTAAAAACGGTCTTAAGCATAAAGAGAGATTCTAGTCATTATTAAAGATGTTTAAGGAGGACCAAGACATCATAGTGAGGAGGAGGAGATATCATTCTCACTGTTTTAGCCGCAAACCCAAGCTATAAAGTGTAGCAAAACATTGAGGGATGATAAGGATAAGCAAGCATTTGCTACATTTTAGCAAGCAATAATGATTCTTTAGCTAGGTATCCTATAATATTTTAATCACTTAATCATGCAAGCTTGCTGATTTCACTTTGATAAAGCTAAAAAGGGCAACCAAAAGTCACTCTCACTTTGTCTAGGAATTTCCAATTCGGGCTTCGCATGCCATTTAACTAGTTATATAGAAACTTAGATTTATATGGTAAATCAAGAATGGAAATTTTTATTCAAGCTAGAGAAATTCAAGAAAAAATTACAATAAAAGAAACATTAATGATTTGTAACTAACTACATGGAATGCCTATATACATGGAGAAAAAGCCCCGAATTTTTTTTTTTGGGTCAATGAAAAAGAGCTTTATTCATTTCCCAATATGTACTGAACATCAAAGCATCAGTTACAATCCTGATGATCACTCTGTAGCTATTAACAAAAACTAATTACATCTTCTCTAGAAACTCTCTCATATGGACAGGTATATCATCATTATTCAAAATCCTTGAGTATATCAGTATCTTCACTGCCTTGAACAGCAACTCAGGTGCCCAAATCTTTTTTTGAAATATTCTCATGTTCCTCTCTTGCCATATCGTATAAACTGTAACAGAGAGTGTCATTCTCTTTAATGATAAAATTTACGGCACTGGTATAGATTGTTTTTTCCTTCAGTCCTTGACAAATGAACTAATCATTAATTATAATCATATTTTTTTTATAGACGATTATGATTTTTATAGAATAGAAAATGACCAAGGACAAGTGTAATTTATGGGGAAATGATCATAGTTATACATTTAGAGTATCTCATAATAGTTTACATATTACCACATGATCATGATTTATTGATGTCAAGGAAACATTGAAAAAGATCCAAAATCTTATAAATTAATACAAGATGAAGATTGCGTACAGTACTCTAGTGCAATATTATTCAATCATATTATTCAGTCATGTGTGACACGCATCATAAGGCAATCCATCCTTAGATTTGCAATTATTCATCAACCAGCCAAACAAACTCAATTACAATACAAAATTTGTACTATTCAGTTATATTCAGCATTAACGTAGTCCCATCGCAGTAGCAATAAGTAGTTATCAAGTGCATAATTCTAAAGTGAAAAGGAAAACCTTTAATATTGTGAGCATCTGTTCTTGATTTGCACCTGAGATATAAATGCACTCACTTTCTTAAGATAGTGCTATGGTAAATAGATTTTCATAAGATGCCTCTCGCCTTGCTTCACAGTTGAAGGAACAAAGAGCTCAAAGTTGTCATTTCTTGCAAATTGAGCAATTTTTTTTATTGTGATCCCATATATGACATTTTGCACAAAATATTTTTTTAGTCTATGTTATGGTGTTCTCAGACGACAAAGCACGACCATTTGCTAGCAACGGACAGGTGTCCCCCTACATGCACCGATCAAACCAGATTGACGGTCAAGGCAATCAAGGATCCCGCCTTAGCCGACTCGCTGAGTCAACATCTCCATCGACTCGAATGGCAGAACTTATCGGCCCTCTTGTCGAAGACGACTCGCTTCGAGCCCACTCGACCAGTTATTCGACGTCTCGCGAGGTCGACTCGAAAGGCGTTACTTCTTGGCCAAGCCCTGTTAGGATTGTGTCTTTGATTCTTTGTATAACTTTATTAAAATTAGATAGGGTTAGAGATCTATCATGATTAGGAGATTGAGTCTCATCATGATTAGGAGCTTGAATCCTATTCTAATTAGGAAGTTAGACTAGATATGGGGTTTTGGTTTTCCTATATATATTCTTTTATTGTTGGGGGAAAAACCAAGCAGATGAGAGAGAGCCAATATTCTTGTAATCTAGAGTTAGCAGGGGGTGTAGCCTGATTCAAGAATATTGTGCGAGAGGCGAGGGGTTCGTAGTCTTTGTCCGTGTAAAAGATTACATCATTGGGAGAGGGTTTCACAATCTTTGTCAAAGATTGTAAGGAGAGGGCTTTGGAGAAAATATGAGAGTTGATTATGTATGTGAGGTCGAGAAATTAAGGGACAAGAGTTGAGTCATTCCTCTTGTAGTTCTTCCTGATACATAGTGGATTTCTCATATTGTTACCTGTGGACATAGGTCGAAGTTGGTCGACTGAACTACGTAAATCTCGATGTTCTTTCTTCTTGATTATGGTTATTTTATATATTGTTAATTGTAGATTGACTTCCGAGTTACGGAGATCGTAGTACGCAAGGGGACTAAAATTCCCCAACAAGTAGTATCAGAGTCATGATGATAGATCCGAGAGCAAATTCGCAAGATAGAAGACGACATCGTGCAGGATTGAAGATCGGCGTTACAAGAATTAAGATGAATAAAAAGGAAAAAAAGGGACTGGTGATTGCAAGCTAAAAGATTGCCAGCAAGAGGAGGATCACCAGTGAATTATCAATGTCTGGCGAGGATAGCTGCGGGATGCAGGTCACAACGGCGTCGAACAAAAAAAAAAGAAGATCTGATGGCGTATAGGGCAATGCTACTGTCATGTTCAGTTCGAGAGGACACGCATGGTTGACTTGCTTCTAATGTTAGAGGTGGTGAAAATCTCTTGGTGTGCAAAAGAGAGGTGGAGGCACCGCAGCAAGGCAGATGAAAGTGAGGGTCACAGTGGCATCCAGTTAGAGTGCAGACATTCTAATTAGGAGTGCGGCTGCTATGATTTAAAGTGCGAAAGAAATAGAAGACTCTAGCGGGAGAGACAAAGTTTTAAGACAGCGATGATATATCTTCAAGGGAGTTTGGGAATCAAATCCAAGGTAGAGATTGTTGGGATTGTGTCTTTGATTCTTTTTATAACTTCACAAGAATTAGATAGGATTAGAGATCTATCATGATTAGGAGATTGAGTCTCGCCATGATTAGGAGTTTGAATCCTATTCTAAATAGGAAGTTAGGCTAGAGATAGAGTTTTTGTTTCCCTATATATATTCTTCTATTGTTGGAGGAAAAACCAAGCCGATAAGAGAGAGCCAATATTCTTGTAATCTAGTGTTAGCAGAGGGCCTAGCCTGATTCAAGAATATTGTGCAAGAGGTGAGTGTTTCATAGTCTTTGTTCGTGCAAAAGATTACATCATTGGGAGAGGGTTTCGCAGTCTTTGTCCATTCAAAAGATTGTAAGGAGAGGGGTTTGGAGAGAATATGAGAGTTGATTATGTATGTGAGGTTAAGAGATTGAGAGACGAGAGTTGAATGGTTCCTCTTGTAGTTCTCCCTGATACATAGTGGATTTCTCGTATTGTTGCCCGTGGGCGTAGGTCGAAATTGGTCGACCGAACCACGTAAATCTCGGTGTTCTTTCTTCTTGATTGTGATTATTTTATATCTTGTTGATAGTGGATTAGCTTCCGAGTTGCGGAGATCGTAGTACGTAAGGGGACTAAAATTCCCCAACAAGCCCCATGACGACTTCAACCTCAAAGCTCTCCCACTGACAACGCGTCAGCATCACATTTAATGCTTGGCATGCGTCATCATGCCTCTAGCCCCGATAGTCTTCATGACTCATCAGACCGTGTCGGTACTGTCATGCCTCCAATCACTTCACATTAAATGCTGAGGTGATCTCTCATCCACTCACCAACCGGCACATGTAAAGCAGGTGTTGACGCAGTCGCCAGCCCATACTTATTTACCGTCATGCTGTGCTCGGCCGAAATGGCAGTTCTACCCCTTACACCACCAGTATAAATAGAGGTGCTATTCTAACTAATGGGGGCTCTCTCTAATCTAATCTGATCTTATGCTATCTTATGCTAGTTTTTTTTTTTTTTTTTTGACCAAGAGGTATCAGTTTAAAAAACCAGTTTATCATGGTCCAATTTTGTAAGAGTTATCAAACTCACCCTAAAAAAGTCAAAAAAGTTACAAACACCTCTCTATAAAAACATTAAAAATGCCAAAAAAATCTCTAAAAATTCAAAAATTATAAATAGTTTTTACAATTTTTGAAAGAAAAAACAATACGATATTTTCCCTCACTTCTAAAGCCTATAAATCTACCTCAATCCCCACAAAGCAAATCTCCCCCTTTCTTTCTTTCTTCCTTCCCTTTAGTCCCCACAAAGCCTCCCCCCTTTTAAATCTACCACCACCCACGTTCTTCCAAACGCCCATAAAAGAGACTCCTCCTCCTCCTCTTCCTTCATCTCTTCTCTCTCTCTCTCTCTCTCTCTCTCTCTCTCTCTCCCCTCTCCCCCCCCTCTCCTCTCTCCTTACCCCCCCCACCCACCCCACCCCTAGCTCGCTCTAACCCCTATGAAGCCCACTCTACTCGAAACGCATGCGCTTAAAGATGAAGGAGGCACTAGAGATTGGCTAGTAGGGGAGCACAAAGGCAAGCAAACATCCCCAACGGAACCTCAAAGCAACAACTTAGAGCTAAGGCTCGGCATATCTTTGAACGCTAGTGCCAGCACTAGCAACAAACAAGTGTACAAAGATCACAGCAACATGATCAGCCCGAGTACGAGGCTCCTGAGCACGCTTGAGCACCATGGGCTCGTGCTCAACGGGCTTGGGCCGAGTTCTAGCGGGCCCAAGAGCTGGGTCCCTCCCGAGCTTGGGTGCAGCGGGTTCATCCACCCATGGAGCTTGGCTGCCCGCCAGCAGAAGGCTGTTCTTGAGCAGGCTCATCAGAGAGCCAACGGTGCTTGCTCAACCCTGGCAGTTTCAAGGTTTTTCCTTTTTTCTTTTTCCATATTTTCTTTTTTAATGTTTTAATCTATTCAATATTCTATCTTTCCGAATTATTTGGAAATTAAATATAAAACGAGGGCAGATATTCCATATGTAAGTTCTCGGCCGATGTGTTAGCGTGACGCGCATCTGTACTCGTATAACTCAAGTCATAGATATATTCAGATCATAACTAATGGTTCAATATTTATCACGACGACAATATATGTCTAGAAATGAGAGTGGACACACTAGCTTCTGCTTATTGTATATTGATTGTTCTTCTAAAAGGTTTATATAAATTAATGCACATTTAGTCTGTTATTTTCAATGTAAATTTAATATTAATGATAACAGTTATTGGTTGAATAAATAGGCCTTTTATTTTTTTTATTTTTAAAAAATTCATATTGTGCTTACTTTCTTACTACATGTAGTGTTCCTGAGAGTTTTATTTAACATACGTACACACACATGCATGTATTTATCTGAAACGAATGCATTTTAATTAGAAAATAGAGCTTGGGCTTCATATAGAAAACATATTGAAGTTTAGGGTATAAAACACAAAAATATAAAGTTTTCTGACAAGTATTTTTCATAGGAGTGCAAAGCCATTGACGGGAGGCGGCTAAGCAAGTAGCGAGAATGAGTTGACTCTAATTAAGTGTTCCTTGCTTGAGTCAATTCATATATAATTAAAATCTTAAAGTTATACTATGACAAAAATGCGTTTATCGATTGATTATCACGCGAGGAAAATTTTAATACTCGTTATATTCTTGTAGGAAGAAAAATAGAGGAAGCAAATTATTTATTTTTAAGATTACACAATAATAAACCTAATCCACTATATATTAACCTGAGCCTTGAGGTGAATCCGAGAGAAATCCAACGAAAAATGAAGAAAATAAAATCCTAAGGATCCCTTTGTATACGTGAGTTCTAGTTAGAAAATCAGGATACTATGCATGTTCTGATAGAAACTTAAAATTGGATAGTTACGAACCTAAGGATCCCTTTGTATACGTGAGTTCTAGTTAGAAAATCAGGATACTATGCATGTTCTGATAGAAACTTAAAATTGGATAGTTATGAACCACCGACTTCATTTATGCTAGCTAACACTTAACAAATCCTCTCACTTTTCTATATGATTTTCTATAGAGGACTCATTTAAGAGTTTGTCCAAATAAGAAGTCCATTCTATGTTTCTCATGGAGCAAGAAATTCTATAAAAAGCATTTCAAAAGGGGGAAATCACAAAAAAGTGGTTATACAAAAGAAAAAGGACAGGGCCCACTACGGATGTGCTGGTTACTTGGCCCATATAAGAAATTGGACTTAAAAGGCCAAATTTAGTTAAGTTCTGCCTCAACTAAAGGCCTTACACTCCCTAGAAAACTCAAAGCCCATTGAATTTTACAATTCCACTATAGAGAATATTCTACGTGCCAACGGTTTTAACTATCCAATATTTGCATGGATGCACTAAAGATTTGCTCCAGACATTATTACCCACGTATTCATGTAACTTCTTCAAATCCTCTCGCATTGTTTTGGTGATCTTAGCCGAAATCAAGATTTTTATTGTTATCCTCTCATTATCATATCCAATTATGACCAATTCTCATCTATTATAAGTACCTAATCAATCCTACACTCTTGCAATTTATATATATTTTTACTTATGATCATTTAATTTTGCTTAGGTATGGTTTATGTTTAATTTCTTGATACTTTTTTTTAGTAATATGAATTGCATCAATAAAATTTTTGTATCAGATTAACTCCGCCGACGCCTCCACCAATCGTCGGCTGGCCGCCTGTTCGTGCATCTCGGAGGAACTTATCGGGTTTGAACCCGATAAAACCTGAAATGGAGGATGAAAAGGATGCTAAAAAAGCAAAAATAGAGGAAAATGGAGAGGAGAGAGTTATTAGCTCAAATGATCAAGTGAAGCCTACTACAATGTTTGTGAAGGTGAACATGGAGGGGTTTGCAGTGGGCCGGAAGATCAATCTTAAGGCCCATAATAGCTATGAGTCACTTTCTCGTGCCCTTCAGAAAATGTTCGCAAATTTCCTCTCTAGTAAGTGATTTTTATTCATGAGTATCTTTGTGCGTGACATGACAATTGTTGATTGCTTGCGAAAAATACTAATTACTGCATCTTTTCATCTATATATAGTATGCGACACTTACATGTTAAATATTTTAATATTGTAACTTATGACATTTGTTGTGAGTGAGTCTAGCGAATGTTCGAGATCAAATTACGACTTTCATCAGAAAAAAAATGCAAAAAGATAACTTATAGTTTTAAATGAAATTTTAAATTGACATTTTTTTCGGACTATTCAGTTGAATATTTGGAAGTATGTCACCACTCCGTTGATTAGCTATGAAAGCTTCTCAATTTGTTTACCAGTGAAGTAGGGGTGCTAAACCGTATCTGTATCCGAGAAAATATCCATAACTGTATCCGTTATGATACGGATATGGTTACTCAAATCTATAACCGATAGGATATGGTTACGGATATGTTTTTGTAGTGAAATATTCTTATCCGTATCCGAAATATTCGAATACATATTAGTCATACTCTTACGATAGTTTCGATTCTTAGATTATGGATTTGTGGTTAATTTTGATGATCAAGATGTCTAATCTTAACTTTTCAATTATAATAGACATATTAACAAAACTCTTTTGTATCACATGAACTATGTTTTTCTCAATACTATCTAGTTTTCTCATATCTGTTTTGTATCTGCATGCATATCCGTGACCGTATTCGATTTTAGCGGATATGGTTATAACTTTTTCTTACCGAGGTATATCCATATTCGTATCCGTATCCGAGATGGGTAAGCGGATATGGATATGACAAGCATCATATCCGAGCCGTATCCGTACCGAATGCACCCCATACCACCCACTTAACTTCGCACAAACATTTCAACAGCGTTTTCTAAAGAATAACGGGTAGAAATGTTTCTCATGAGTATTAGTAACTTTTTTTCATAGTAAAATTTAGCATTTTTGGAATAATTTTTTTTCATTTCCTATGCATTTATAATATATTATTTCGAGAAAAGAATTAGCATATAGGCCTCCATCTAAAAATGTTGTTTATTTGCCTATGCCGTAGCTAATTACCTTAACTCTACGCACGAAGAACGAGAGGTAGACAACAGCTCCGACTACATTCTACTCTATGAAGACAACGAAGGGGATCGGATGCTTGTAGGAGATGTGCCTTGGGAGTAAGTTATTTTTAAATATAATTGTGGTTGAATTAATTTCCTTCTCATATATATTCTTGATTAATTTTGATTATATACATATACATAAATTTAATAAATTTTGCAGGTTGTTCATAACTTCCGTGAAAAGGCTATACATTGCTCATAGTCCCGAAACACCGAAAAAGGGTATAAATAATTATCAGCATTTTGAAGAAAAGTTACGTTTAACTTTTAAATTTTTTTTAAAAAAAAATATCTTATTTGTTGATGGCATCTGTGTGAAATTTTTTCAGATGATGAGAAGGTGACTGATGACCAAAAGTGAGCAATAGCTACAAGACTAACCAAAATCAAGAAGGGAACAATATTATTGCATTAATAGTAGATTTTATTTTGATTCTATCATGTGAATTACTCTAGGTTTGGTGAGTGCGTAGCATTTCGAGAGCTTTGTGTTAAATTTTACCGTGCTTTGTTTATGGGGACGTGTACTCTAAATGATGAAATAATTACATCTTCAATCTTATTGTGCTTCTTGTGCTAGCCTGTGTTCATACTAATTAATAACGGACGACGAAAACTTTATTTGATTTACTAAAATATTTGCCTCTTTGGTTACTAATTGCTAGAGTATAGAATGTTATAAACTCAATTAGGAAATATGAGCTCTGGGCAATCTAGCTACATTGGGTTAAAGTTGTATTGTGATAAATTAAGGTTTTCAGAAAATACAAGTGGATCGAGGGTGATTCCGAAAATGAAATTAATTGTCTTCATTTCGGAGTGTTTAAAAGGGACGTAGATTCAAGTTTTTGCTTTAGAAATAAGTTTGTAGATGTCTCAGAATTGGGAGGTTAAGCCCATCCATAGTTTCAGGTAGGGGTAGGGGTGTGCAACGGTCGGTTCAGTTCGGTTTTTACCAAAATTTGAACAACCGAACTGAACCACCTATAATTCAAAACCGAACCGAACTGTTGCAAGTCGGTTCGGTGCGGTTCGGTTCGGTTTGTTCGGTTCTAACTTTATCAAACTTCTTATCAAACCACAAACTGTGTTAAAGAAAAAAAGATATCAACAAAGTAAGAGATTATGAAGCATTAAACACTGATATAATGATATTGTTTTTAACCCATAATGATTCAGAAAATGAGTTAATGGTTTGAGTCTTTGACTCTTTGGGGACGGGTCGGGTAGGGTTTGAGATCAGAATAAGTAGTATTGTACTATATTCGGTCGGTTCGGGTCGGTTCGGGTTAAAAAGTTTTCAAACCGACCCGAACCGCCCTACTCATAAAACCGATTTTTCTGGATCGGTTCGGGTCGGTTCAGTCGGTTTTTTCGGTTTGGACCGAACCATGCTCAACCCTAGGTAGGGGTAACGAATATGCTGATTGGATTGCAAAATAATATATTTTTTTCAAAAAGTAATTTTAAGAAAAATATCACTCTTCAAAATATTATTTTATAGAAAACTTATATTTTTATAAAAATATTATTTTTTAAAATATTATTTTTTTAAATTTGTATTTTACAAGATATATTTTCTGAAAAATAAGTTTTGATTAATACTTTTTTGGAAAAAATATTTTTTATATTTAAAATATTTTTTTATAAAATTATTTTAGATCTTTAATGAAGTACTAAGATTTTTTGAAATTTTAAATAGTGATATTGAGATTTTATTTTTTTATTAATTTGAACTACTTGCAACATGCAGTAGTACTGCAACTGCAATTTACGCTCAAATTGCATAAGTCGGAAGCTCCAACCAATAGGAAATTTGTAACTTATAGTAGCAAGTACAACATCTAAATTGCAATAGAACAAACACTTGCTCCTGAACAAAAATGATCTAATTGCACTGTCGCAATCTAAAAAATGCACCCTAATTGTAGCTAGGCAATAAAAAAATTTATTATTGTAATCATAACTAAAAAAAACTTACAATTTAATATATATATATACAGGGTTGAGTTAAACTAGGAGCAAGTACCATTCATGAGAGATTTAGCTTCACTTGAAAAGAATCACAAATTGTGTAGGCATTATCCTAGGCTTCTCATTAAGGAAGTGATTCCCCCCTAATAATACAACTTGAGAAAGCTATAATTGCAATCTTTACGTAAATGCCCAAAGTAATGGCGCATAAATCCACGAACAAGAATCATAGGCTGCTGCTTAAAGTTGTCCTATTGATACATGCTCAGCCTCTTGTATCAGGGGGGAAAATATAATATCCCAAGTTTCAAACAATAGAGAGATCTCGGTGAAGTTCAAACAAAAATTCGATCAAATAACTAACGCACAAAATTTGGACGGCAAGGAAAATACAAGCCGGCTAGAGTTTAAATTATAGTCTACAATCATCATGAGCTAAGATAAAATTAAGGACAAATTTTTGAATTAAACCTACTCCAAAAATAATAATCAAAATAGACTTAGTCCCAAAATATTTATCAAAATAGACCTAATTTCTGTCACATTGGCTGAAACTAGGTTGATTTTGATAAATATTTTGGGAACTAGGTTGACTTTTTTTTTTTTTTGAAGTAAAGAACATAGCAAGATGCCCTATCAGAAGTATATTATATATGTCAATATGTACATCTAGGAGTGATTTCGTTGGAGACCCCTTGAGAGTAGAGGAGCGGACATTTATAGTCACTCTACACAACAGGGGATGAGCAAAAGAAAGCACTCATAGTCTCAGCGAGGACTATACAGAAGAAGTAAAGTATATGAACAAACATAAGCTAACAGATACATAAAACTAGCCAAAATAAGTGTGCATGTCCATCCCAAAAAAGACGAGAAGAGAGAGTTGGCTAAGGATTGGCCGCAGCGTAGGGGTGCATTCGGTCCGGATACGGCTCGGATATGATGCCTACCATATCCATATCCACTTACTCATCTCGGATACGGTTACGGATACAGATATACCTCGGTAAGGAAAATTCATATCCATATCCGCTAAAATTAGATACGGTTACGGATATACATGCGGATATATAAACGGATATATTTGCAGATACAAAACGGATATGAGAAAGCTACATAGTATTGAGAAAAACATAGTTCATGTGATACAAAAGAGTTCGTTTATATGTTCATTATATCTGAAAAGTTAAGATTAGACATCTTGATCATCAAAAATAACCACAAATCCATAATCTAAGAATTGAAACTATCGTAAGAGTATGACTAATATATATTCGGCTATTTCGGATACGGATACAGATATTTCACTGTAAAACCATATCCGTAACCATATCCTATCGGTTATAGATTTGATTAACCATATCCGTATCCTAACGGATACGGTTACGGATATTTCCTCGGATACAGTTTAGCACCCCTACCACAGCGTCATTGCTATCCTCACTAGAAGAAAAGAGCTCTGAAGTACCCTTCTCACGAATGATAGTTGTTTGGGTCAAAAGTTAATTTTTTTCATTGTTAAACTCATTACAACTTCTTTCGTTACAATAAGTTCAAAAAAGATTGGTCTTTTTATAAGACCTTTACACAATAAAAATAAAAGATTACAACTTCTTCAAACACACGCGGAGAACATTTATCACCTGCTGCTTGCGTGAGATCTTTGCATGTGCCGGGACGCGTTAGTCCGTGGACCGCTGTGGATCAGATCCGGTTGACAGAAAATTGATTAAAGCTCTTACTTCACAAAGGAAGTAATCACTGAAGTGATAATCTCGACCAAGCGAGATTACGACTCTTCTCGAGAACAAAACAAAGTTTGATCCGGAGGAATGGGGGAACGGAGCTTCAGATCCTTCGAATTGCTCATTCTTTATGCTGAGATTCGCTAAGATCTGTTAGTCCTCTCTGAAGTTCGTGGATCACTCTTCAAACCGACAACACCTCACCCTAACTCCTCTAAAATTTGTGGCTCCCTTCAGATCTCCTCTTATGAGGGTGCTAGGGATGTATTTATAGGCTTTAAATATCGTGTTTGTGGATAGGAATGTCGTGTTTGTGGATATGAACCACCTTTATATTTCAAAATTCTCCACTACAAACCAAATTAAGACTCTCTAATATCTTAAAGCAGGATAGTATAAATCAAGATTAATAATAAGTATGATGTAAGTTATATTTCAAAGGAATCATAATCATTTAAATTGTACAAGATTGGAAATGTTTGCTCTAAAGTTGAAGCATAGCCTTTCCTACATAAATATGAAACAGCTGTTTGAAAATTTAACCTTCAAGTAATGTATTTCTAAGCAAAGAAGACATTTTATTTAGGAATTTACCATTGTTCCTCATTAAATTAAATTAGTTAGCAACTCCAATGGCGCATACATAGTTACATACTAGTTAAAATATCTAATTAGTTAATCTCTATAAAGTATCTTGCATCATTAGTAAACATTATGATATCCCAATTACGTATCTATCTCTACTTACTATTCTATAAGTTTAGTGAGGGTAGGAAAAGTTTGAAGGACATGTGAAAATTATCCTTTATCTCACTAAAGACATGAGGACAATATTGATCATTTCATACAAACTTTCTCTTTTCTTTTAATTCATTTCTTTTCTTATTTCTAGATCATTTTTAAGCATATCATATAGGTTACTAACTATACACCTATTACATTATATATGATGAGAAGATATAAATATGAAATGGTAAAGTTATTTTTCAAGTAAATAAAAACGGCGATTAAAATTTCAATATATTTCAATAAAAATATTATCAAAAGTGTACTTAGCTTAAACTTAATTAATAATATGAATATTAAATATGAATAAAAGAGTCTCCTTAATGTTCTAGCTAGGAAAATTACTCCATTACTCAAATTCAATAAATGGCATAGACAATTTTGAACAAGGAAAGATAAAATAAGCATAATAAGTGAATAAATTTCATCTTAGAGATACGTATGATAATTTAAGATATTAAAAATAAAGTTTTTCATTAAAAAAAATAAAATAGTTAAATTCCAGTGTCGATTGCACGTGCATGCGATCCTAGTATAGTTAAGTTTAAACTTGATCAACTATCCCATGTCTTTCAGCCTTCAGTCTCAATCAGACAATATATACATAATTAAGAAAAAAAATTAAAAAATCATGCATTTAACATTTACCACTTGTTTTGGATAGCTCAACCACATGGCTCACTGAATCAAAGACGTATTTTCGATCTATTCTTCAATTGAAACTTGAAGATAAAACCGTATAAATACCTTACAAGGGTAAGCACTAGCTGACTTACCTCTTAAACAACCAAATTTAATTAGAAGCAAAATATGGGAGGTTCATTAACATCTCTTAAACCAAATTATTACCTCCTCCTCATCCTCTTACTCCCCTTAACCCTAACCCTAACCCTAACCTCAGCCCACAAGCACGAATTACCTTGCAAACACCTTACCCTATACTACCATGACATCCTCTTTAACGGCACAAACCAAGCCAACGCAACCTCAACGCTCATCTCAAACTCAGCACCCCTTGGCAGCTTCAACTTCAGCAACTTCGTCGTCTTCGACGACCCGGTCACCTCCGACCGC